TATATTTGTCTCTGCTCTGTTTTTTCTCTCTCTTTGTCTGTCTCTCCATTCCTCTTTCTCCTTTCCTGCTGTCTCTCTGTCTCTTCTATTGTCTATCTGTCTCTATTTGTTTATCTGTCTCTTTTTTTGTTGTATATTTGTCTGCGTCGCTACTATTTATTTGTCTCTGTTGCTGCTGTTTATTTGTTTGCTTCTGTGCTGCAGCAGGGGCCCCCCACACCTAACTGTCTCCTTTTTGTCTCCTCACCTGTAGCTGAGTGCTGCTGCCCCCCTCGAAGCATCCACGAACCCTGCTGCTGCTGCTGCTGCTGCTGCTGCTGCTCCTGCTGCTGCTGCTGATGATGATGATCCCCAGGGCGTCCGTAGGCGGCGGGCCGGTCGCCGGGAGCAGACAGTCCCTCCTGCAGCAGCAGCAGCAGCAGCAAAGCAGCAGCAAATAAAAAAATAAACAAATAAGATAAATAATAAATAATAAATAGTAAATACGGTGGAGACACAAACAAACAAATTAAAAGGAAAACAAACAAAACACCAAACAGTAAAAAGAAGAAACAAACGCCGATGAAATATTCCGTCTAACAATCGGAAGGCGCAAATTATGCTGCTGCTGCTGCTGCTGCTGCTGCTGCTGCCTCTGCTGCTGCTGCTGCTGCCGCTGCTGCTACTGCTGCTGCTGCTGCGGACACCGCGTTGGGGTGTACATGGATGTGTATGCTTGAAATTGGTGCGTTATACTTACTGGGCGTGATGGATGCGCGCCTTGCTGCTGCTGCTGCTGCTGCTGCTGTTGTTGCGGCTGCTGCTGCTGCTGCTGCGGCAGCAGCTTGAGTGACTCTAGAGAAGCAGCAAAGAAGGCTGTGGGGTGGTCAGGGCGGAAGAGGGCCCTCACTGCCTTCACATCTGCTGCGTCTGCTTCCCGCTGCAGCAGGTGAACCGCCAGCAGCTGCTGCAGCGAATACACAGCTCCGGGGCGTGCTGCACGCAGAGGGGGCCCCTCGCCCTCATCTGCTGCTGCTGCTGCTGCTGCTGTTGCTGCTGTTGCTGCTGCGGGGGTCTCCCGCTCGTGTCCTGCTGCTGCTGCTGGCGTTTCTTGATCGTGTGCTCCTGCTGCTGCTGCTGCTGCTGCTGCTGCATCTCTAGCAGGGGGAGCAGCAGAGGAGACAGAGGCTGAGCCT